GCTTTGTAAGCTGAAGTTAATTGCTTTCTACCTTAGGTTTATCACAACTTGATTCCAAATGATACATTTGTTTATTGCTGGTAATGAGGTTGTTTATCGATTTGATTTTGCTTATCGTATCACCACCTACCCTGAGAAAAAATTAAACAATTTCAAAATCCTGAAATTATACCCCGTCCCTTCGAACAATGTTTTGACCTTATTTTGAAATTTAAATTAAAAAAAGAAAGGTTTTTCCTCCTGATTGTTATTTGGACTGAATGGTTCAAATCCAAGACTTCCAGTCTGTCGTGTTCTGCTCTGGTCGATTGTTACATCAACCAAGTCCTATATTAGTTGATGAACATGCCGGCGTCGTGTGATTTTCAAGAAATCACCGGAATAACATAACTTTTTTTCTATCATGTGATTCTTAAGAAATCACATGATGGAAGAAAAAAACGTTAAGTTAATCCAATGAATCGTTTGACACTTGTATTAGATCTGTCATACCAAAGGTCATCTTTCGTTCTGGGACACTGCACTTGTTGAGCTTGACCTGCTACAGGCTCTCTTAATATTCAGGCTTGCCTGACAACAATTACGTGCTCAGTGATCCGACAAACTTGCACTTATTGACTTTGTCTCAATAGAATGTGGCTTAGAAACAAGCTAATAAACACGATGAAATGTTTTACACAGCCTACGATCAATCGTTCTTTCTGAAATGCCAGTATTTTCGAGTGCTCCACTTAAAAAAAATTAACTTTCTACTCTCGATCTCGTCATCGGGAACATTTTAAAACACGTTTACCACCTAATGAGAAACGCCCTGTCAGCCGAAGGGCGTGACAACAGCGTACCTTTCCTTCATTGGTGGCGCTTTGACAAGGCAGTCAAGCAACTTGAAGTTTCAGCCGGGTTTCGTCGCTGGTGGATTGACCTCGCTACGCCCCTGTCTTCTGATGTAATATTTGCAAATCTCAAGTGGAAAAAATTTCGGCTTTTTCATGAGGGACGTGTTTGTTCGACGCACTTCTCCACAAGCGCGTTTTGGAACATGAAGATGAGAAGATATGTTTTCGGCTGCTGTTTATTAGGCTTAGTAGCTATTGTTTCGGTGCTTGCAGGTAAATACTTAATTTGACTATAATTAAGTTACTATCACGACTTTCTTTGATACGGGAACCACCTTTGTGACTTGACTTGAAAGTCCCCAGTTGAGAAGTAGACAAAGGATGGTCTTTAACTCGTCCGAGCGAAATATCTTTTACATCCATCAAATATCATTCATCGCACCAAACGTTTACTAAATACATTGATCGAAATCCCTCATTTTTATCATCGGTTATGTGTCAATGATTTTTTTCCTATTGTGGAGAAACATAAAAGACAGATTTTGGCATTTTTTATTTGCATGGCCGACTTAACGATTGTCACCTGTTAAATGGTTGGACTCAAACCTGTTTTAACTTTCTTCGTCTGTAATTTTTATTCATTAATATGATTGTAATGACAAATAATACTGAAAGTGTCTACTCTGCGGAAAACGACTTATTTGCTATTATTCTACAATTCAACATTTTGTTTTCAATCTGAGTCATGTGAATTTAGTTTTGTTAACTTCAGCAGTTTGAGCGCGTTTCAAATGATTTTCGTAAAACAAAAACCAAAGTTTTCGGAACGCCCATCAGAAAAGAGAGAAAACCTAGAGAACCAATAAGAACCAAAAAAGAAACAAGCAAACTGCGTAAAGCGCGGGAAAATGCGCGTGACTAGGTCGTCATTGGTTTTAATTTTACATCTGATCGGTTGAGGGAGTAACGCGAGTTTTCTGAACCAATCATAGAGCGGAGTAAAGCAAAACCAACGCAATCCCAGATTACTTTTGACATTCAGTTGAAAATTGCTCCATTTCAAGATCCTCAATTTTCATTTCAGATTGAGCTAAAGAACCCTTTTATTGTTTCTGTCGTGGTGAGCTGATGAACATTAAAAGCCGCAGTTTAAAAAATCACAGCTTCTAGACATTTCCTCATAATCAGAGTGAAGAGCAACTGACTTAAGTTCGGCCAATTTTTTTTATTTCTTCGCTAAATGTGTTCTTTTGAAGTAACTGACAAAAATTCAAGTCATGAAACCACGAAATTCCTGCTGAAACTTCCCTGAATAAGACCACATCATGGAGCTTTATTTGGAATAAAAAAATAGACTATGAGCTTTAGGTCCTCATGAATAGAATGATCATTTCCATTCTGTCCTTAATAGATAATGACGATGATAACTCAGATGACGCCTCAGACAGTGACTCCAATGGACGCTCAACTGCACCCTCCCCGGGGCCATGGTTCGACCGAATCTTAGGTGCGTAGTAAAAGTTTACAGTCTATTTGTGCTCCTCTTTTTTGTAAACATTTACTCGCCAGTTGGGCTAATTTGTAAGTGACATAGCGTCTGAGAACGATTGAGATTTAATTTGTTTCAGTATAAGAGGCAGTTCATCCTTCATCGCCTCGGAGGGGAGGGTCAGAGGATTTTGGGGAGATCACATGGTTTTCAGGGGTAAGGATGGGGCTCAGTCGTTACCAACAGAGTATAAGGGGGTACTATAGATAATTGGCAGCCAATGAGGGGGAATCATAAGAATACTACAGAGTCCTAGAGGGGTCGGATCAGGTAAATTTTACCATTACAAAACAAAACTCTTACGACCCCACCCTCCCCCTTCTCGTGATCACTGAAGGATGACTGGTCCCTGAGTGAATCTTAAAGAAAATAAAGATCAGCGAGTAAGAGTTACAGGGTTAAACTCCCATCGAATGCATGAAGGTAGCGAAATATATAGTATTTTTTTTCTAGGTCTCATACACTCCAAGAACTTTCAAGGTGTCTACAAGAAGTATCTCGATAGTATGAATCAGCCAGAATCCGCTGACACTTCAACTGGTGAATTAGCAAGGCGGGACTTTGCCCCAGGCCCCGTGAGTAAAGTGTTTGTGAAAGAATCCCGAGATAAACACCACCACCGACATCATCATCCTCATCATGATCGTCATCATCATCGACAACATCACCATGATCAGAAGAAGAGCAGTAAAAGTAAGAGTTACATTTTTATTTAATGACACACGAGAAAGTTTTTTAGTGGTTTTTTTTCTGAGATTTTTTTTTTTCTGAGATTTGAACCTCGAGGAGGTTTTTTTGTGAAGAAAAAAAAAGATTTAAAAGAGTAAAACTGCCAAATAGATGATCAAGTTTTTTAAAGTTTTGAAATTTTTTGTCGCTAATGCGATTTGAAGCTCGAAGACACTTGCCATGTGAGAAAGAAGAGCTAGAGAAAGTAAAACTTTTAATAAAGAAAACCCTAAGCATAGTTTGGAAATGCAAGAAAAAAAGCCGTCGCAGGAGATTGAAAATTTATTTATATTCTTGATACTCTTTTTTAGAAGCGAGGAAATGGTTAAACGTGAAAGTTGTAAATCAAGTAGGCACACGGGTCAAAATAAAGGCCAACAAGATCCTACCGAGCGCCGTGCTCAGCAGCGGAGAAATCTTCGTCTACCATCAGCTCTTGAACCAGACTGACCGAAAGGCTACGATCACTCTGAAGGCTGTCGACGAGTATACAGATAAACCGCTGATCATCAACGGAGACCAAAAGTTCTACGTCACGCCAACTACTTATGATGACACACAAGAGGCCTACGTGTCACGCGAAGGTGAGTGGAGTGACAAAATGAAAATCATTTTCGAGAGACACTGTGTAACCTTCCCGCGAGATATTGTGATATGATGTGTGATGTTGCATGCAAGGCTTGAATAAGGTGGAACTTCTCCCGTAACAGGAATTTATATTTTTCCTTGAACACCTTTCATGTATCGATGTTTTTTCTTCTGTTTATAACATTTTATCATCCGGCAAAAAAGAAATTACCATCGTAGTGAAATGAAGAATTTCATCATGCAGTCTCATTTAGTTCCCAGGGCTAAAAAGTTTTGTTCTTGCATGTTTGGAATCACAGTGACGAGTTTAAAGTGCATGCAAAACCGGAGCAGGCGGGAGGACTCATGATGGTTCCCTCGTGATAAAGGTCTATTGTAGCTTAGACTTTTGTTGATAACTTAACTTTGTGTTGACTCCGCTGTACGTATTCTCTATGACTGTAGACTCAAGGAGTGGTATCCTGCATGGAAGACACGGCCACATTGTCAAGAGTCAAGGCAAGTGCTTCATTTTGTTATCACTGAAATCTCTACCCAACTGACACACAAAAACCTTGCCACAGTTGACAGAACTGAACAGACAACAAACTGAACGCTTGTCTTACTGTACAATGAATGGCTCCCTGTCCTTAGTCAGTGTGAAATCAGTTTTAAGTATCATGTATTGACTTCAAAGAGATGTTTAGACTGGTTAAAGCTTGTAAAGAAGTAACTGAGATCATGTTTTTTTTTTCATAACCTTTGCTTAAGTGTTACTAGAATGCTAGAGAAAATTGATTGCACAGATTGTGGTTTCTTTGGTTTTCTAGTAACATTTTCAGGCAAATGTAGGAAATGTAGAAAAAGTGTCCATTTCACTCAGACAAAAAGCG